AACTGTCGACTCTTCCTTTTCTTCGATTGCTTTGTGGGTATTACGTGTTGAGGGATTTGGTAATCTTAGGGTTTTTGTTATCTATTTGTCGCCGTTTGTAGATGCTGGTTGTTTTGGTTGTATTGTTGTGAAGGGGGGTATTCCTATCAGCTTTAACGGACGAAAGATTGTTGATTTGATGAAATTAGGGATACCCAGTTGCTTGAATCCCTTCTTTTCTTGATCTGGGAACATAAACAAAGCCAATGAAAATCCAGGGTTGTGACTTTGCAAATGATCTGCACCAAGACAGAGTTGTCATGTGACAATGTGGAAAAGCTTGTGTTCTATATGCTAAAAGGCTTAAACTTTTTGCTGATTTGCATTTGCAAGTCGGTGCCTTGTGATGATTTACATGTTCGCCTGCTGATTCACCTCGGTCAGAAACCGGGAATAGTAGAGAGCTGAGGATGTGTTAGGTAATCGCTATGCGAAAACGGACGTGAAATTTAAAGCTTGTGGACTGAGGTTTATTACGGTAAATGGTGTCGAAACTCGTGGTTATATATGATCACAGTAAAATGAGTATGAAATGGGCATGATCTTATCATCAAGATTCATAAATATATTTTCTCATCCTTTGTTTTGTGATCACAAATTCTTGTTTTTTTGCCAAAGATGGGATTGAAGAAACTAATGTGCTGAATGAATTTCTTGCAGTTGTGGTGCATGTGGGTACGAACTGAATCTAAGCTCCTCGAATCGGGTCACTTCCACTATCGGATCAAAGTACGGGAAATCCATAAAGAAAGGAGTCATATCGTTCTTTAACATCGACGAGAGCAGATTGACTCAGGTCGATGAGTTCCAATGCATGCCTCACTTCTCCAGAAACTCATGGGGTTTGTTCAGACACAGAACTAAACTCCTCTGCCGCAGATGTAATAACCACATCGGCACTGCTACTGCTCAGGACAAAGCTTCTGCTTACTCGCGCGTAGCAGAAAGCTCGGGGTCGTCTCCCATGGATGCCGCCTCTGGTGTTAAGAAGTACGACATCAAGATCCGCGCTCTTCAACCGTCTTCTGCCACACAAGGATCCGGCGCACCGTTCTTCACGTCAACCTCTCGGACATTCTCTCGGTGAGTCTGCTTCCGTGGACGTTTCAGGACATCTTCCTTCAATTTTCGCTCGAGTCTTTCTTGAACTGTTTGTATCATCTTGGTTCCGTGGTCGTTACAGTGGTGGATTTGCTGTTTGTACAGTGTATTTCTCTTCTTTTTTCTTTTTTCTGCTACTTTTGAAGGATGGGGCAACGTGTGCAGTCTCCCGACAGACTCATACCCGTTGTTTTTTTTTATCCATTCATAATCAAATAATAAGCAATTTTCGCTTGTTTTATATTTTATTCTGTTCGATTTTGAGCCGTGTTTTCAATTTTACAATGTTAAAATACTGAAATTGTTACCCATTTTATATTGTTGTTTGTATTTGAAATCATGTGTGTGTGTGTGTGTGAAAGATTATGAATTTTAACTTTTTAGATGTATTTTGTTGTTTCATTTTTTGTCAAATATAAATAATCACACCCCTTATTTTTTTTTTTAAAAAAAAAACCCAAAATCCAGATATATCTGAAATGGTGGGTACAAATATTAAAAATTGAATATTCATTCAAATCATATATAAAAAAAAATTGGAATATATCTACTAACCAAAACTCTCATCATTGTTTTAATTATTTTATTTTACTTTAAACGATTTTGAAAAGTTTTGTCGGGTAGGCTTACCTTATCTGACTGTTTCTGTGATTATTTATTTATTTAATTTAATTGGATCCCAACTTGGAGATGATTTCATTCATATCTTCTTGGACCGATATGGCGTTTTGACATGACTACACTACACTCTTCTTTTAGCTCTATCCTCTTGTTCCGTTTTGACTTTTCATAATCATTCATGAAACTTCTAAAACTCTATTTAATCTTCTTCCTATTGCAATTTATGTAACCATGCATTCGATTTTTTTTTTTCGAATTCGAAAAATATTTTGGTTTGTTTAGTCTTATCTTGTAACTTATAATTCTAATATTCTGTGGAATTGTAAAATAATGTTACTTTTATCATTGCTCTTCTAATATAACAAATATATGTACATATATACATATAATTTTATTTTAATAAAATCTCTAAATGATAAAATAAATATAAACCGAACAAGAATTATTATCATGTTTTGGACCAGAATTGCTGTGTTTTTTAACCAATGATGTCTTTAATATTCTTTTGGTTAAAATAAAAAATGTTTAAAAAAATCCTTCTTCAAAAAGTTTGGAATGATTGATTGCTTGATAATGATGGGAACATGCAACACTTTTGATCGTAATCATATTCAATTAACTGTCTCTTGAATTGGGGTCTAAGTTATAATAATAATAATAATAATAATAATAGGTGATTTAGTTGATATGGTCAGGTGACAAGGATCGGTTCGATTACATGGTCACACGTAATAGAAGAATAGGTCGCATAGTATCAGAACAATGTCACATAACACTATGTCACATGGTCACAGTACAATAGGTCACATGACCACAGGACAATACGTCATATGATCATGGACTTAATTAGATAGATGCTCATCGTTTTTATTGTTGTACAGTTGTCGTTTACGTACAAAATAGAAGATATTCAGTTCTACACCAAGATAAATACCAAGTATTACCCATCGGAAATATGGACAAAACTAAAAAACTTGTTAAACCCCGAAAATTAATTTTAGTCATGAGTAAAAGCTTGATATAATATCCATCTAACTTAGTCAAAGATTCGAAATAAAACACTGTGGATAACTTTTCAACTGCATACCCTCATATATATATATATATATATATATCCATGTGCACCATTACACTCCAAAAGTGCATATCAAACAAATGTCGAATATATATATGTGATTTGTGTATATATGTATATACGGGTAAAGACACCTTTACGACAAAATTGCAATCTGGCACTTCACATGTTCACCTTTTGGATTTCTAGGCCTCAATACTAATGCAGGTACCTACTAAATAGATTGGCGCCAATAAAAGAATAAGTATATTTGGCACCGTTTCATTAAATTTCTAATATGATTTTATTACAATGATCTGTTAGTATGAGATATATCTTAAAGAAGAAAATATTTTTTTATTATAACAATTATAGAAAAACACGCGCATCCTATGAAGAAAATACTAATTTCATCTCAAATAAAAATAATTTTGAAACTCAAGGAATAATCTTTTACACGATATTTAATTTGGGGCTTTCTTCGTGGTCGAGTGCCTTATCCACCTGGACCTCACGTCGACAACTTCAACCTTGGAGGACACGTGGCATGCAGACAGCCTCTTTAGTCTGATGATGTGGATAATCTGTCCAATACGCTTGTGCCACGTCAGCGAGACCCTTGACTTACTGGGATGCTGAATCATCATCTCCTTCTTTGTCTCCTCCCATGCCGAACCCTTGCAATGCTTAAGAGATATTGTTGGCACTTTCCCTTTGTCCCATGAAGGTGCTCCATTTTCTTCAAATTTTATTGAGATGAATGAATCTATTCATGAAAAAAAAAAGACTTAGCTCGATTTGTATTATTTTATTTCGTTTCAAATTTACACAAAGCATCATATAGTCAATTAAATTATTTCATTATTATATCTTAGAAAAGTGGTAAGTTTTTCACGACCATATATAGCATAGTATATATGATTTCTAAATAAAATTTCATATAAATGCACGCAAGATATACACAAATTTAAATTCATAGACTAAATTTAGTGAAATTATATGAAATTATTCATATATTACATGAAATTTTAAATTTATATTGATTATGCAATATATATATACACACACATTATTTGTCTAACAATTATATGCAATTTTGCTATCCATACAAAGTACTGCTTGTTTATATATTTTTATCAAAAAACAATATAAGTACTGCTTGTTTGTGTGTGTGTATATATATATATATCATAATTGAGTTGGCCTACATATTTCGCATCACAACGATCTAAATTTAGTATTTCAAATTCAAAACATGGTAGATATCGAAATTAATGTTTCAGGCCATTTGAGGAAAAACATGCACCCCCGTTCCAAAATTTCAAACTTTGAATAATAAATTTATGAAGCGCCATTATGAGACTTTTCAAAAAAATTTAAAGGTTGGCATAATTTTTTGGAGTCAAACATTTGAAAATAGAAAATAGAAACAAATATTTAAATATAAAAAAAATTTATCACAGAAACTAATTGCATAAATGTGTTTCCCAAACAAATAAAAACCCGAATATAAAAAGTTAAATAATATAAAAAATTGCGTACCGTCTGGACTGAGGACAGCGTCGTGGTTATGGCGGTGGTGTTGTGATTCGAATAAGAAGCCAAAGAAAGAAGAGCCGAAGGAGAAGAATCTCCTGTGCTTCTTCTTGTTGAAGGATTTAGATTCTTGAAGATTATAATCAATGGCGGATTTCGAAGGAGGGGGAGGAGGACGTTTCCGCTTTTGCTGTGAAGCCGACAATAACATAAGCCTCTCGTTCAGACAGAGAGGGCAAACTCCCACCAGAATCTCCTCTGGATGGATATTACAACATGATGATGAGATGGGTTTTTCTCTTCGCCCATTCATGGCTTTCTGGAGGGAGAGAGAGAGAGAGAGAGAGGTTATTGTGGAAATTTGGAGTTATATATACAGAGAAAAAGAGATCATCTTTGGAAAGAGAGAGGCACAATGTTTGTGTGTGTGTGTGTATTTAATTATATTTATTTATGTAAATATATATATATATATATATATATATATATATGTAAATATGTTTGTGTATGGAACGTCGTCGTACATGCAATAGATGGAAGATACTGTCTGAATTTGTGTATTTATCATTTGAAAATAAAAGTTCATTAAGATGTAGCGACTCGTGTTCTGGTAATTTTTTATAATTCATTTTAATAATTTAGGGGATATTTTATTGTGTTCCGGTAAAATAAATGATATATTGCACGAAGTAGATTACGAAAACAAAATAGATTCAAGCCGTAAAACATTATGAATGACATATACATAAAGAAATTTAAATTTCTAAAACATAAGAGTAGTCGCGTATCTCTTATTGTTAATATAACATTATTTCACCGGATATAATCTTAAAATAACACCGAATTATTTGATTCTTAAGATTTTTTAATTTTCAGCTAGTTTAAGGTTTTGCTGATTTTATTTTTGTAAAAAAATTTAATACAGATTCATTATTTAGATTATATTTGTTGGGGGAATTATACGAGCCGTTCAGAGAATTATATGTATAGACACATAGATATGCATATTATCATGTTTTATGTATGAATGTGAATGTTGCTTGCTCAAGATACTAAATGTGCATATGAATTAATGCCATTGCATTCAAGGCTAATACAAGCACTGCAATTATCATGAAAATTATTGGTTTTTCAATTATCTTTTATGAAACTGTTTTTTCATTATTTTTTAATCGATTCAGTTCGGTTTCAGTTTTTTATGAGTTAAAAAATCATAACCGTTCAGTTTTTATGTCGAATTCGATTTAATTACGGTTATATCTTATTCGGTTTGATTATTCGATTAATAACCAAAATGACCACTAATTACGATTCTTCGAATGCCGATTTTATACAGAAACAATAATTTAATGTATAAATATTCGGTCGTACCGACCAAAGACGTAATTTTTTTTATAACTATGATAGTTTTCTAAACTTTCGACTCGACTACATCTCCCCTAAACTCTAAACATGTCCGAAGACGTAAAAATTAGTGGGGCGAGGGACCACCAACCCTCTCCGACCACCGGATTGGGGGGTTAAGATAAAAAAGCAACGAAGGGACGACAAAGACAGCGGTGGTTGCGGATGTGACATATATATATTCATACCATTCAATTCATGGGTTTTGGTCAAAATTTCGCTACATCGACTTGAAAATGATTTGTGAGGGCTAATCACATACACACGGACAACACACACACACACACACATATATATATATATATATATATATTGTATGCAATGATTTTTTCCAATAATATCCACATTCATCATATATTGAAGGCAATGAGCATATCGTCACAAAACATAATTGATGTTTATAATAAATCATATGAAACCCTCCGTTATAAAAAAAAACACATGTATTCTGACATATAACTTTATCAATAAAATCTGAATCCAAAACAATCACATATAATAATATACAAAGATTAACATATTTGAAGCTTGTCTTCAGTTTATGGGCTTTTCGCATTCGGCCCACGTTCTTCCATCTTTTTTTACCTCGCGCGTGCATCACGCGCTTCTGTACTCTTTCTCCTCCAGCAACCACTGTGGCCGATACTCTCTTTCTCCTGCCCTCTTTACTCTCTTCTCCGCGGGGAAACTTTCCCGGCGGTGAAATTCTAGACCTGGGTTTTGTGAAATCATGGCTTCCGTTGCTGCTAAACTTTATTCAGGTAATAAATTCGTATCCTTTTGGAATTTTGTATGCGTTGAATCCGTGAATGTGTGTCTGTATAGGTGTGAGCATATGTGCCCATGGAACGGACATTGGTCCGATCGCTGATATGTCCCTGATCTGTTTGATGTCGGATTTCGTTGCAGACGATGTCAGTCTTCTAGTTGTGTTGCTTGATACGAACCCTTTCTTCTGGAGCACTTCTTCTCTTGCTTTCTCTCAGTTCCTCTCACACGTAAGTGATCTCTCTCACTCTGGTGCGTTTCGACGAAGAAAACCCTAATTTTTTTTTTGTTTCTGTTTCTGGAAATTGATTATCCTTCTCCTAGGAATGGGGAAAGGGCAGTCCTTTAGAGAAATGGGTTTGTCATGATGGTGAGAATTCGTCCTAGCGAGTGATTATCGATATGGCTGATTGGATTATTGGAGGGAAAATGACGTCTAGGCAGTGATTCTTATTTCGATTTGTGTATTTATGTTTATTGCAATTCGAAATTACCGGTCAGGCGTTTGAACAGACCATAAGAGGCTACACAGATATGCTAGTTTTGATTCTGATTCAGATGTCCATTGTAATGTAGGTGCTCGCGTTTCTGAATGCGGTATTGAGCTTAAATCAATTGAATCAAGTTGTAGTTATAGCCACCGGATACGGTTCCTGTGACTACATCTATGATTCATCTTTGTCCTCAAATCGGACGTTTGAGAGCGGGGGAATGCCCGCACTCTTTGGTAATTTGCTGGAGAAATTGGAAGAATTTGTTTCCAAGGATGAGGAGTCGAGCAAGGAGGAGTCAGAGGGGAGAATAGCTTCCTCTCTGTTGTCAGGATCGCTCTCAATGGCTCTTTGCTGTATCCTCGAGAAAATCATTAGCATTGGCTTCACTGTCTTATTGCTCTTTCACGAGTAATCAGCATATGATGTGGTCATCATGTTGAAATTTGAGTCAGCTTAAGGTTGCATCTAAATTTGTCCGAGCTAAGAAAACCCGTCTGCTCATTTTCATCAAGTCTTTTTGTTTTGTTTCATCTAACCTTCTGGCTAGATATACAGAGAGTTTTCCGGTCTGGACATATTCATCCACAGCCTCGGGTGTGTATTCATACATTCATAAGAACTTTCTGATCTCGATTGTTACTGATATACTTCTCTCCTATCACACCTATTGATTAGCCCGCGTTAGATGGAACTGATAACGCTGTTGGTCATATGAAATGCAGATTTTATGTTTGCAAGGTTCCCCAGATGGCCCAGAGCAGTATGTCCTCTGTAACCTTTTTTCACCTTGCAATATTCTCTTCTCTCTTTTGTTGGACTCTTAGAAGTCCTTTTGTTCTCTTCAGATATGTAGCTGTTATGAACGCCATCTTCTCTGCACAACGGTCAGCGGTATTAATCATTTCCATGATCCTCTTTCACCATTTAAAATTTCTAGATGCTCTCCAAATTTTGTAACTTCAATCTCTTAGCAATGCCTTTGCTTGGTTTCTACAGATTCCAATTGATTCATGTTACATAGGTACACAAAATTCGGCGTTCTTGCAGCAGGTAACATAATTTCTCGTGTTCTTCCACTGAAACCCTTTCATTTTATACATACTGTCTTTTGGTTTATGCATTGCTTTGGATCATACCCACCCACACTTGCTTGCAGGCATCTTATATAACTGGAGGTGTTCATCATAAACCTCAACAGCTAGACGGGCTATTCCAGTATCTCACGGTATGGCGCCTCCTCGTTCACAAAATATAATCAAGCAGACGCAGGTTTTGTCTTTGTGTGTGTGTAAATGCACTTTTATGTGCTGATTCAGTTCTTTTTTGTTTTTCTGGTGTTGCAAAAGTCAATCTTTGCCTCGGATTTGCACTCCCGTGGTTTCATACAACTCCCAAAGCCCGCCGGTGTGGATTTCCTTGCATCGTGAGTGAGCTAATAAAAATCTCAGATGCTTCAGTGTCTTGGTCTGTTGTCTGGTTCTTGATTGTAAATGAATGGTGTTTTTGTGCAAAACTTGCAGGTGCTTTTGCCACAAGAACACCATTGACATGGGCTACATTTGTTCAGTATGTCTGTCCATTTTCTGCAAGCATCACAAAAAATGTTCCACCTGCGGGTAAGAACAGTTCATGTCAGATGGTCCTGTTTCCTCTGAAAGATTCTAACTTTTGGTCCTATGTTTGGAACATGTAGGTCTGTGTTTGGTCAGTCCAAACTCGATGAATCTTCTTCGGCCTCTGACAAGAAGAGAAAGACACCTGATGCCATGTAATATGCAACTTTTCCATTCATTATGTCACACTTGACTTGACTGTACAATTTTACAAATAGACAATGTGTTTCTTGAAAGTTTTGGAACAAAGGTGGGCTGGAAAATCAACAAATGAAATTGATCGACAGAGTTTGATCGATCTTTACAATATTTACACAGGCAGAGTTGATGATAAAGAATAAGACATTTTTGTAGTCACTTCCACACACATCACAAACTTAGGAAGGTAAGTTCAGATCTCCTTTCAGCCATGAAATTGTGAGGTCTCTCGCGCTTCAGAGAGCCTTAAGAACAACCTTGCCGGTGGCATGAGCACCCTTAGCTGCTATCTTCAACACACCACGAGCTTGGTATAACCTGAATCGAATGTTGGTTCAGCTCAATTCAACCAGGGTAGTACACATATCAAAGTTTTTTAAACCAAAAAACTGGTTTGAGAATGATATTTTGATAAAAATGGATGTGTAATTGTGTGAGATAAGCAGAAAAGTGAACAGACATACCCAGCACAAGCCAGCCCCCAAGTCGAGAGTGTGTAGAACATCTTTCCTGCATGCCAAACATCCACTATTTTCCCTACCTTGCTCAGGGTACTGAGTTCTTTGACCAGAACTACAAAATTAAGCACCCGACTAATATGAGTGATCAAACACGAGCATAAAACAAGTCCCAAGTTGTCCATGGCACTCGCAAAGACAGCACACAGAACTGGGGGATTGATGAATTTTTCAGTTTGACCATACATGCCCATGATTTGACTATATACCCTTAATCAGTATGCTGAAAACGAGAATAAAACTATAAACACCAGAAACTTACCCTTTTGTAGCTCTTCAGGCTTAAGAAACTGCAATTCCAAACAAACAAACGATATGAGACGATCATAAACGCAGTGAACTGAAAAGGTGTGCCAGAGAAACTAAGATACCTTAGCTTTGGGATTTGATAGAATGCATTTAGCCAAAAAGTGGGCAACTGCTTCCACCACATGCTCCTCAGTTACAACAATGTAATGTTCATTATCGATCGCGCTTTTTTCCTCCACGTTGCTGGGGATCATGTCATCAGTGACCAAAACCCACCAACTTGGCTCTTGATGATCGATATCTATCAGAACTTCAACAGTCTGCATATCACCTTCTGAGAAATCAACCAATAATTGTAGTTACTCAAATGTCGCATTTATGCGAGTTGCATATATGAAAAACTTCAACTTTATCCGAAAGAATTCAGAATCATCAGAAACCATATATAAAACACCTGTGGGCTCTTTGAATGGGAACTGGTTTTGGGTTCCTTCAGCCAAAGCCTGCCTCATATGTTCTATCCGAGCCGAGAAATCCTTAGACGTTACCATCGATATAAGCCGTGCAAATAGCTGAATCACCACAAGGATCTCGTAATTTCAGCAAAATTTCCGTTCGAAGACAGCAAACAAACAAACTTTCCGTGAAAAATTTCTGAAGATTTCCAACTGAATTGATGTAAAACTACCGAATTCAGTCATATAAGATACGGAACCTAAAAAACCCTGAAATCAGTGCTAAAGAAAAGGGGAGGCAGAACACGAATCACATACGTCGCTAGGGCACTCGTGCAATAACACGGCAGTCTCTGCAAGATTCTCAAAGAGCTTCAGATTGGACTCAAGCAAGCACCTGAGACGACGATTCTCCGACCGGAGAGCCTCCAGCTCCAATCCTCGAGGGTCGGCGATCTCGGCCGTTGACTCGCCGCTCTTCTCGTCGTCGCCGTGGCTATGATGGGGGTGGTGGTGGCAACACTCCACGGCGGTCCACGCCACGTCAGCAACCTCCAACACCGTCTTCGCCACCTCGATCGCGTTGTGCCCCGTCATGATCGATCTTCTTCTTCTTCTTCCTCCTCCTCTGGAATCTGGATATGTTCTCTCTTCTTTTTTTTGCTCTTTGGAAATTGTTGAAAGAAACTGCTTGCCGTTTGCGTGTCTGAGAACGATGAATCATGAGAGTAGCTTAATGGTTTAGTAAATTACGTTTAATAATTGGCGTATTCCTGTATTTGCAAATACGACCCTTCAATTATTCCATATTTCGAATGTGGGCTCTTCTATAAACTTCGTGCCGTTTTGGGCTCTTCTGTAAACTTTCGCCGCTCTTCTCTCGGTTACTACTTATTCAGGCGGTGTATATCGAGAACCAAACACAGTCCATAAATTTCATGTCATAATCTCTAAATTCTCACATGCATATTTGGAATGATAAATTATTCCATAAGGTTTGCTTCTCTTTTTTTTTTTTAACATAAAATTGATTTCCAAGCCTACCAAACCCAATCCATAAATTTTGTATCATAATCTCTGCATCCAAACACGTCATACTCTTCCGCCCGAAATTAATGATTTTATAATTTTCCCAGATGAGTTTTCTTCACTTGTCTTTGAAAATCCAAAATACATTTGAAAAGAGTACAAAGTACATATAGGTATACATACATATGTATACATATATATATCATCATCATGAGTCAAGAACTAGAGAGAGAGATTGAAAATGAAAACGCAAAATCATAAAGATAACAACTTTCCCACTTGGAAAATCTTTTTAGACTTCAAAAATTGAGATCGTGTTTGTCTTCTCTTTTTTTTTCTTTTTTCGCTTCGTCGATGGGCTGAATTCAGGTACTATTGGTCACACCGTGAGTTAGTGCACCGGTTACATCTGGACCGTTCGTTTTTTGTTTGTCCGTGTTCGTGATCGGGAGCTAATCGTTTAAAATAGATACCATTAACGTTTTTTTTTACTGAAAATCTATTACATTGAAATTATATTTTATCTTAATTTTTTAACATAATTTAATATTTATATTTTCTTATGAGACGCTATACAGTCCGAAAACTATGAAAACCGCCCCGATAATACTGCATAATCATAATTATAACCCAAATTCATATAAATTACAATAAAACCCAATTCGAGGGGGCAAATGTAATTTTAGTATTTGTTTTGGTTGAAATCGTAATTTCCGTATACCTTCCGAGGTGGATCGTCTCGGCGAGAACCAGAGCGCCGAGGAAAGCGGTGATGATCATACACATGGGACTAAACGACGTCGTAAAAACAGGTCCACGTTCCTTTATCACGATGCTTTGTATGTAATAGGCGATCCCCGAACAGACCACTCCCTGATCATTAAATTAATGACATTTTATAATCCAAATTAGGAGTGGTAATTAATTAATCACGCAAATTAGCTTCTTTCTTTAATCACGTTTACTTACGGAGTAAACCGCTGCGAGTGTGCCGGAGTCCATTCCGACTTTCCAAGCGCTGACGTCACGCACCATCACGAGCGAAACGACGGCGTTTAGAACCGTTCCCATGAAGCAAATCCATGCAACCAACGACAACTCCGCCGTGTATATTTTCAATGTAAATGACTGCAGGGAAAAAAACAAAAAAAAAAATAGTCTTTTTAGGGTATATTTTATGTCTTAAAATGTGTAAATGCGTGTTTTGTATGGTAATTTGGTAAATGTTGCTATTTTTTTTGTATTTGTAGGGA